GTTATATGATAAATAGAAGTAAATGGAAATAAGAAATAAGATAGATGACTATGATATAGATATTATATGACTAAGAATTATGAAAAAGGGAATGAGATAAAGGATAACAAGAGAATGTGATATAAGCTTAGTAAGGTAAAATAAATGATTATATGAACATGAAACAATACACAATACTATATGATATGATGATATAGTTGTATGTACATATTGTTACATGAATGTGTATATGAGGTTTATGATTTGTTAGTATGAAGTATGCATTAATTGTTAAGAGTTATAGTTACCTTATACGTTTTATATGTCTTACTAAGTCATCGACTTAGCGTGTGAGTGTTTCACACGTAGGTTTCTGGAAGAAAATAGAGAAGCGAAGCAGTGATAGTCAAGGCAAGGCAGGTCAACCTCTCATTTCCTATAATCAGATCAGAAAAGAGTTTAGAATTATGTGTATTTGATTATTGGAAATAGTTGGCATGCAATTAATGTTTTGAATTATATACGCTCTGATCAGTTTTGAAGATACTTTTATTTTAATGATATTGAATTATGAACGTTTATTGAATAAAAGTGGAATTTTCATATTGGTATACAAATATAAGTTTTGAAAAGTCAATGTGATATCTCGGACTCGGATCCGGGTTGGATACGAGTTGGGGTGTTACAATATTAATGAAAAATGAAATCCCAGTTGGCATCTTATAATTCTTTCACTAATATGATTCAAATGAAATTTTCTTTAAGCATTAGCAAATATGTTAAGATATACAATGAATAATTTGAACAAAAAAAACGACAAGAAAATCAAAAGAATTCAAAAGAAAGTTTAAGACTTTGAACCTTCAACATGGAATCATTCAATCAAAGGAAAGAGATGTTGTCAACAAGATCTAAAAACCAACCCAGATGTAAAAACTACCAAGAAACAAAAAATGATCCAAATTTATGGAATTAAATTACCTAAAAAGCAGTTCAAAGAAAGATGCATAAGAACCCGATTTTATCACAAAAGAACTCAAGATTTAGAATCGGCAAGCAGTGAGGTTAAAATTAGAACCGGCTATCCTTGTCCTCGATTTAGCAGGTACATGGGTTTTACGGGTACAAACTATCATGGGCCGAGGCATGGATCGAATTTTTAGCACCCGAAAATCTTAAATATCTATATTTCAAGTATTTGAAAATACGAATACCCATATATGAACACCTTAGTTAGGTGCACCCCTCCCTTGGGTCCTAAGCTCAAATCCCTTGTTGTTATTCCTATATATTTTTTTATTTGTTATCATCTTATTGATAAAAAATGAATTATCAGTTTTATTATCAATCCGACATTTATTCTATAATAAGACAATGGATTTGTGTTCTTCATTTGGAGTCGGCAAACTGAAATCATATTGGGTATTTGATGGGTGGATTGTGATTCAAAATGTGAAATTATGCTTTCGTGGCTGCTTTTGTTGAATCATTTTACTAGCTATTTGGTTGTACCATCAGATCCCCTCCATATGCTTAATTACCCACACTATAAATTCACTATAAACTCATTTATTTCTCCATCCAACGTATTTGCATGATCGTGTCTGATTAATGATGCTCGGACAATATTTGGGAACTCTGATTCATTTACACCTACCGGCTACCTGTTTACAACATCTTCCATTATCATTGTTAAATACTCGTATAGAAATCCGCTAACCTTTTCCATAAAGAAGCTGTAAACGGCAAACAAAAACTAGGAAAAGGTAAGACAATGAGCCTGACATGTATTTGAATTATAATTGTAAAATAAAATAAGATTAGGTACAGAATCATGGCTGCCTAAGTGACTAGAGGAGGTAAAGATTAATGTGGTAAAGAAAGAATCTTTTAATGTGTTGTCGTGATTGAAGGAAATGGTGTGATTAGCTGTGAGGATGAAGCTTACGTGAGGCCCCAAAAAAATGCATTATGGAGCTCAACTCATCATCAAAGATGCCAACACTGATATGATTATCCCACCCGTTGTCATCAAGCTCGAAATGACCGCTTGGCCAATGGTGATTAACCTCGAAATCGATCACCTTTTCCAAGTAATCATGTTTCTTTCCAGGCAGTCAGAAGGCTACATGATATATTTACCAAGCATCTTTTCATGTGATATAGTAGAGCGAGTCAAGTGATGAAATGAAATCAAGTACACAGAGGCATCATTGTTTGTTATTGGACTCAATGTGGTGAAAATTCATGTGAAGAGCTTAGGATGAAAATGAGCTGTTTAGCAAAAGCAACATTTTTTCAAAGGCAAGTTTGTCAATGTCTGGATTCTCTTGGCAGTGCATGGCCAAGTCCAAGATCGGGAGGAAAAGGCCAGATCCGCGCCCTGCAACAAAATCCCAAAAGTCGAATCCTCTATTTATTTCATTATAGATAGGATAGCTATGGCAGTAGACGAGCATACAAATGCCATACAGCAAACTTTGTTAGAATTTTGGGATACATTTCACATTTTGGAAGTTTTAGCTCTTCTCTATTTCACGAATATGACGTTTCAAATCCATTTGGCTTTTTTTTCTTTCTTTCCCACTGAAGTTAACCTTGTTTTTTTCTCTAATATTTATTCAGACATATATGTTTTAAGTGTATATTTCTTCAAATATATAATGTCCAACACTGGTTTAATATTTATTTTGTAAAATTATCTACAAAATTATGGTGAAATATATACTTATAAAGGGATAGCATTATTTTTGTCCAAGCTTTTATTTCAGCCATATAATAATTAGTGCAAGGATATGCACTTATCAACATTATTTGTAAATACATTTATTTTTTCAATTAGGATATATCCTAAGTTTAACAACTTAAATAGAGATTAATCTTTTAAAATCGTATAAATTCAATAAAAAGATTATCAAATATCTAGCTAATCTATATTCTTAAAGTCTTTAACTCAAAACTCTAATTAAACTGTAAAAATAACGTACTAATTATTTCAAGCACTTGGTGATTAAATAGTTAATACATGCGTTTTAGTCATGCTGTCATGAAACTGATTTGTGAAAAGGGAGAGAATGACCAAAAACTACTAATGGCTCCGCGTCCTTTTATTACAATGGGTTCTGAACCACTCGATTGCATATATAATTGAAGCACATGTGTAGTTGGTGGCACACGTGTTGAACCCTATCGATTGCGTTCCAAACTGCCTTTGTGACTGGTCAAAAAACCCAGTTCTTCGTTCAAACCTCATCATACAAAGTGGAAGATGCATTGATTATTTACCACACTCCGTTTTATACGTGTAAAACATGATCTATAATTACTGCCAAAAGTTATCCTCACGCAATGATATTGGTCAATTTTTTATACGTATTTTAGTTTTATTTTATCGTTTATGTTTTAAATTTATAGTTAAAAGTTAAAAGGGTGTTTATAAGAAAAATATATTTTAATATTTAAAAAAAATATTAATTATTTGGACTATTAATAATATTATAGAAATAGAGGTTAAAATATAATAAATAAACCTTAAACTTAAACATAATAGAGGGGCTAAACCAAGGTTTAGACTAAATCCAACTATATTTGAATATGATAAAAAGACAATATATTAGTATAATTTTCAACATTTAAGTCTCTGCTTAAGGCGTTTAAACAGATAAAATAGGGTCACTCATAAATCACATTAAAAATAACTAAAATTTGATGAAAAGATACGAAACATAATTAACATTATATTTTAATATATGTAATCAAATGACATGCATTTGGATTTCTTTAACGTACTAAGGATTGCATGGTGCATGTCAGGTACTAGACCCAAGAGATTTTGGCCGAAAATATATATTAAAAAGTGGGGTTTGTTGGTATTTGAAGATTAGAATATTGAATTTGGGAAAATGAGAGCAACAGTTCCCAAAGTAGGGCTGTTTTTGTGGCACTCAAAAATAGATATATAGGATTAATTCAGTTGGTTTGGTATTTTCAACATTCTCTGTCTGTGAAAGAGGACGGCCTTCACCCCTTTCTCTTTCTTCGTGTCTCGCCATATCCGTATCTTGCAAAGTAATATTAAAAGTAAGAGTAAAGTTTTGAAGAGGGAAGAAAAAAACCAAAGGCCACCGAAAAGCAAGTGTGGCCAACCCACACGCATTTACCCACACCCTATACCCTCATCTTTTGCGTTATGTTCCCTTTATTCCCCTATTTCAACCCCTTTGTTTCTTTTCGTTTTTTTAAAACAAATACGAGGGAATCATAAGTCAACCTCACCTCATCATTTGGTCTTTGCTCTCAAAGCACCACCTCATTTCCCACCCATCTTTTATTATTATTATTATTATTATTATTATTATTATTATTATTATTATTATTATTATTATTTTGAAGATGTGTTTGGGATTCCTCTCAATCTTCTATATAATTCACCATTCTCCCCATCATTCACTCCGTCACCATGGGAAACATGAAGGTACATCAGTTGGCACGTGAGTTCGGTGAGTACGAACCATCTCTCTCCCTTGGTTGTAAGCGCTTATGCCCTCTCGCTCCCAAGCTCCACCACCACCAGGCCTCCTCCTCTGATACCGTCTCCTCTTTCGACCTCAAGTGCTTCATTAAACCAGAAAGTGACCCGAGAAAGCTTGGCTCCTCTGATCAGAAGCGCGATTCTCCTAAGGTACCCCTCTTTGTTAATTAATTGTCTCTACCTTCACTCTTATACTATCTTGTCTTACTTCGTTATTGTCAACTTGGCTGCACGTGACAAACGTCCCTTGCGTAGTTTGGTTTCCGTCTTACTGCCTTATTTGTCCTAACGAATCTATAACTAAATCACCTTGTCAGTGACCTACATCTGAGTAGGTAAAAATATATACTACATGTAAAATTATGAAAATGGCACGATGAATCCTTCTTTTTTCATTGCCAATTTGAGGAGAAGGTTTTTTTCTTTAAAGACGTGACGTTATTTATGAGTTTAAGTTGTTAATGGAAACTTAATCAAGCAAAGCATATTGGGGTTCGGAAAGAAGTTTTATGAACCAGAAATTTTATCATGTAGGTGGAAACACAGCCTGGAGGTACGAGGTGGAATCCAACGCAAGAACAGATAGGGATTCTGGAGATGCTGTATAGAGGTGGGATGCGAACTCCAAATGCACAAAAAATAGAACAAATCACAGCGCATCTAGGAAAGTATGGTAAGATTGAAGGCAAAAACGTTTTCTACTGGTTCCAAAACCACAAGGCACGCGAGAGACAAAAGCTGAAGCGCAGCAGCCTTGGCTTTACTCATTCTGCGAGGAACTCAGCTCCCATAACTACCATAACTTTGGATACTAGGGTACGCCCTTTGGTTTAATTATAGTATCTGGTTTAGTTTCCCTTGTAAACATAAGGTTTACCAAATAATCATGCATTTTCTAACAGGTGGAAATAATGGAAAGATCCGATGAGGATAGTCCATATAAGAGGAGGTGCAAAAGCTGGTCGTTTGAGTACTTGGAAGATGAAAGCGGATCACCATGTAAAGAGGAGGAAAACAGAACCCTGGAGCTATTCCCATTGCACCCTGAAGGCAGATGAAAGGCGTTTGAAAGTGGAAAAGAGAGATAGAAACCCAAATACCCAAAAGATAAAAAAACTGCTAGAAATCGAAACCCCGTTCCGATTATGATATTCTTCGAAGATGATGAATGATGATGATGAAATGTGGTAACTTTTTCTTTCTTTTGTTCTTCTTTTGTGTCGGGAAAGAAGAAAGACAAAGTTGTCTCTCCTTAACTCTACTGCTTATTTATTCCTGACTTAAAAGCAAAACAGATTTATGTCAATCTTTAATCGATATTTCTTCCAGCTGGAGAATTGGTTTTTGTTTCTTTTCTTTTGGGGGTGTGATCACTTCGACTAATTGCATCATTCATCCCCTTAAGCTACCCCGTAACTTTTCCCCCTTGAATCTTGGGTTTTATTATCGTAAAAAAATGAGAACAACAAAAGTAGATTGATGGTGGATGTCCTTGTAAATAAATTAAGATGCATGATCTATAATCTTTATGGTACTATTACTTGGAAGGCTTTGTAAAGTTGCTACTATATCTATCTACTTCGCCTCTGGTCAGTTAACTGATGTGTATTTAACTATTTTTATATGCATTTAAAATCAAAAGTTGGTACTATTTGGTGGGACAGATATGAAATTCATGGCAGAAGTACCCCGAAGAATATTTTCTTCAAATGGAAATGGAGGGTACCGAGATTGAATCACTGATTAACATTTAGAAAAAAGGCTGTGAAATCTAAAAGAAAAGTGGGTTTCCTTTTCCCGTTTTGTCGCAAACAACTTGTTTTATAGGAAGAAGAGAAGCTATTTTTTTTATGACGGTTGGTATGTGATTTATTGTTTAACTAATCGGGATGGATATTATAGAGTCAAAAATGACATTCTTAACTGAGTATGTTTCATTAAAAAAGTTATGATTCAAACCATTGATCTTACTTAAAAGTTTTAGTTTCTCATCCGCTAGACCAGTGTTATTAGTAGAAGAGAAGTTATATTATACGAGCCAAATCCACTCTCAATAATATACCTCCGGATGTAAGCTATCTATCTCATGGACACCCAAAATAATATTATATTTAGCATGTTAAAAAAGAGTAAGATGGAAAATTAATAATTAATTTCATTTAAGTTTAAATAAATCTATTAATATTTAAATACAAATATTTCATTATATTATATTTATCCATTAATGAAATGATTTATTGTGATTAATTGGTTATGAATAAATTTTGATGTGATAATAATGCGTCAAATATCATCATTCTATTAAGAGTTAATTGCATCATATGTCTCCAAATTATAATTCTTATTTTAAATTAGTCATTGAGCTTTTGAATATTCTAACTTCATCCTCAAACTACGACTTTCATTCTAAATTATTCTTTAAAAATTTCAACATTCTAATTTCATTCCTAAACTATAACCTCTTTCTTAATTGGTCCACAAACTTTTAAATATTTCAATTTAATCCCAAAATTCATCCAAATATGTAATTAGTTCCAACCATAGTTTAATCTAAATTTTTTTCCAAACATATAATAATATGACTTGACCTAACGATTTTGTTAACCATGGATGTGATTAGTATATATGTATAGTCTGGGATGAAATTCGAATGTTCAAACATTTGAGGACTAATTTAGAATGATAGTCATAATTTAGTGATGAAATTGAAACATTTAAAAATTAATATACCAATTTAAAATGATTCATATTTTCAGCACATGTGATGCAATTAAATCCTCTATTGATGAATAAAAAGTACATTTTTTAGTAATTCTTTTATCAAAGGGCAAACTGAAAAAGGGAATTGTAATACAAGCCCAAATGAGCCAACAGACCCAATACTGAAGGGATCTTAAGTTACGTTATACACAAACATTCTTAAATGGACTGATATAGAATATTGGCCCGTTTCTTAGGTTAGTCCACATCTGACCGCACACCCGCTTTTGAGTGTTTGACCTACTTTCTAGGATAGTTTTGTTGTATGACATCCTTAACATACGGTTAAAGAAAAATTCTATTGAAAATATTAATATTTTTTTAATATTTTCAGTAAAGTATTATTTAAAATATTATTTTTTACCGGAAATGTTATTTTTGCTAACTAATTCTCGATAGAACATAATATTAACATTTTCGGTAGAAAAAAATAATATTTTAGATAGTGTTTTACCAAAAATATTAAATATTTTAAGTAACCTCCATTATTAACATTTCCAATATAATAAATAATATTTTAAGTAAATATTAAAAAAATATTAATATTTTCAATAATATATTTCATTAATCGTATATTAAAACTGTCGTATATTAAATTTCCCTTGAATAAACACTTCGGAACGCAGCTAAAACACAAACACCACCTTTTTATGTTTTCCATACAAAAAGGACCCAGCCCATTAAATTAAATTATAGTGGAAAAACACATTAAATTTCTCGAAAGCATTTGAGTTAGGGGACGTAACCGCTGATACTGACATTTCCACGTGTCATCTAACTGCCCAATTATCACGCGGGGCCTGATTTTGCCACCATAATCAGACCGTTGATCTTTATAGCTTCCAAAGATCCGACGGTATTTGTTAACTTACCGAAACAAAGTAGGGTTTCTTTCAAAACCTCCATGCCTATAAAAACGACACAGATGCTTCTTTACCGGGTGCGGCGCAGTTCGTTCTGCCCTCCCCGTTTTGTCACATTTTAGAAAACCCAAAAAAGAGAGAATCTTAAACTCCTTTTTTGTTCGCCGTCGTCATCTGTCGTTCCGTTCAACTCCGGATCTCTGACGATTTTATCTCCATTTACGCCTCTCCCTCCTCTTCTATCCGAAATACCAGAAAAATTATTTATTTTTAGAATCTGTTTTAATTTTTTCTCGATAGTTTTTTATTCAATAACAAGAGTAGAGGGGGAGAAACTAAAAAAAGAAGAAAAAAAGAGAGCGATCTAGAAGAGTTAGGGTTTCGTGTTTTTTCGATGGCACAGATTCAGGTCCAGTATCAGGCTCCGGTTTCCGGGCCAAACGGCGAGGCTCCCGTAACTGGTGGACCGCAGTTTATGCTGACATCGCTCTATGTTGGGGATCTTGATGTTACCGTTACCGATGAACAACTATACCAAACGTTTAGTCAGGTGGCTCAGGTCGCTTCAGTAAGAGTCTGCCGGGACTTGGCAACTGGCCGCTCTCTCGGCTATGGATATGTCAACTATAACAATCCTCTTGATGGTTAGATTTCTACTTATTTTTTTTTAAATAATAATTTTCGTTCAGTAATTTAATAATTTAAAACTGTTTGTTAGCTTGACTATGAATTTTTTTGGAATGTGAATGTGGATTATTGATTATTGTGAAATTTTGGTTGTGATGATTTGAAAAATCGAGATATTATTGTAAATATAGATTTTATTGGAAGTAATTTATTTGGTATATAATTCACGCTACGTAACAAAATAAATCAATTTAATTGCAAAGTTTAAGTGTAATATAGTATCTACGCCATTTCCGTTGATAGTTAATACTCAATGATTTTTTGAAAGTTTAGATATAGTTGATCCCTATGTTTTTCGTTGAAACTCTCATAAATGAGAATGTATATTTGCAAAATATTTGAAAAGCATTTCAATTCCATGTTTTGCTTTGACACGGATTTACCAAATGAAGCTATAGGACTCATTTCTTTGAAGTTCTTGTTTTAAATAATTATAATTTGGGAGAATGAATTATTTCTTATGGATTGTTCAGTTAACTACTGTTGCCTTTTTTTAAATTCTTGTCCACAGCGGCAAGGGCATTGGATCTACTGAATTTTACTCCACTAAATAACAAGCCCATTCGCATCATGTACTCTCAGCGAGACCCTAGTCTTCGTAAGAGTGGCACTGCAAACATATTTATCAAGGTATTAAGCTCTTTTTGGTTTCTCTGTATTTGCTTTCCCCTTTTTCCTTTCATGGCTATTTTTCCCTCTGAAATCCAAATATATTCATTTTGATTGGAATTTCTTAGGCCTTTTAGTACTTTTTTCTTACCTTTTGAAATATGCCCACTCACGCTCAATATTCATGCAAGTTTATATGCAAAATATCCATTCTTAGACTTCCATCTTTCTATTTCTTGTAATCATTCACATGCAAACATTTTTTCTCCATCTGATATAGTTGGCTTCGAAATCTTTATCTAATGCTTTGAATTTTGTTTTGACTGCAGAACTTGGACAAGTCTGTTGACCACAAAGCTTTACATGATACATTTACTTCATTTGGCAACATTCTTTCTTGCAAGATAGCTACTGATGGTCTCGGACAGTCTAAAGGCTATGGTTTTGTACAATTTGACAGTGAAGAATCTGCTCAAAAAGCAATTGATCAATTAAATGGCATGTTGATTAATGACAAGCAGGTTTATGTTGGGCCTTTTCTTCGTAAGCAGGAAAGAGACTGTTCTTCCGATAAGATCACATTCAATAATGTTTATGTGAAAAATCTTGCTGAGTATACAACAGATGAAGACATAAAAACAATTTTTGGCGAGTATGGTGAAATTACTAGTGCTGTAGTTATGAGGGATCCAGATGGGAAGTCAAAGGGTTTTGGATTTGTCAACTTCGAAAATGCTGATGATGCTGCTAAAGCTGTTGAAGCTCTTAATGGAAAGAAGTTCGATGAAAAAGAGATATATGTTGGAAAAGCCTTGAAAAAGTCTGAAAGAGAGAATGAGCGAAAAGCACGATATGAACAGACGTTAAAGGAAGCTGCTGATAAATTCAAAGGTTTGAATTTATACATTAAAAACTTAGATGATAGCATTGCTGATGAAGCTTTGAAGGAACTGTTTTCAGAATTTGGTACCATTACTTCGTGCAAGGTTTGTGAAATGATTCTGGGTTGGCTAATTGTTGATGGTAGCTAGTGTAATCTTGTTATTGATATTAATGTTATTGTTTTATCCCCTTTGAAAACTTTGCAGGTTATGAGTGATCCTAGTGGAATTAGTAAGGGCTCTGGGTTTGTAGCCTTTTCAACCCCCGAAGAAGCATCTTGTGCTGTAAGTTTGAATTTGTTTTTTCTTTGGGTGGTCATCACAATCTAGTTAATGCATTTATTATGCATCTACAGCTTGCTGAGATGAATGGTAAAATGGTTGCTAGCAAACCACTTTATGTTGCACTTGCGCAAAGGAAAGAAGAGAGAAGAGCAAGGCTACAGGTAACACTATAATGGTTTATTTATTGGGCATCCAGTTCTTTTCTAGCTTGATTATTGTTT